GCAGAGTCTCCCATTCCCGGTTTCACTCTTAACATTCCAAAAAAAGACCAAGCAGAAGGGCAAAAAAAAAAAAAAATTCATACCAGAAGGCATCTTTGACTCTCCCGGTGGTCAGAGGAGCAAGTTGCAACCCCCAGCGAACAAAGGGCTGACTTGTAGCCGTTTTGTTGCTCAAAACAAGCTTAAAGCGTGTTGACAGCCATTTGTCCAGTATGATATGAGGATTCCTGCACTGGGCAGGGAGTTGGAGTAGAAGACCCTTCCAACCCCAGGGTTCTATGACTTATCTTACCACTGAGCCTTTTAGTAAATAAAATCTCCTTCAAGTTGACCTTGACTCCCGGTGATTTCATGGAGGTATTCACATAGTTTTCTTACTGAAATACAAAAGTGGTGTTCCACTGTTTTCTTCTGGGATGTTTTTTCAACCTCCCAGTCAAGCCTATAGCACTAGCATTTCTTTGAGATATGCCATCCAAGTACTAATCAGGTCTCACATGGTTTCAAATGGAGACACAGAAGTGTTCTGAGATTTGTCAATGTTATTAGATTATTATATTTTTAAATAAAAAGTTAATTGTGTGGTCTCTTGGGCACTACCTGGGGAATTGCATGTACCACATTGCTCAGAGGCACTACATTATTGACTGACTTACTAAATGTTCAGGTGATAGTATGGTGATCTACATAAATGAAAGGGATGAGAACTGCATGTTTCAATGAACTTACTACATAAAACCTGCACTCTTGAATTGAAGGTCCCATGGAAGACCTTTCTGTCTATCATGCATTTGATAGGGGAAGAAGCAATGAATATAAACCCTCTCTGAAGGACATGTTGCATTGGGGGAGAAATAACAGTATGACTGACCTCATTCTAGGTGTTTTTCACATCCAGATTAATTTGACTGAGGTGGTCTGCACATCTTCACTAGTAAGAGATTGGCTGTGCAGTTTATCCAATGTAGTAAGTAGTTGCCTTGATTGTTTGGTGCATTATCTTGGGAAATGTTCCATTATGGTGTGTATATTGTAACTGATATAAAATACGTATGTAATGAAAAGGACCTGTTGGCAGGTATCACTAGATTTTCTTGCATCTGTTTGTGCTGGCCATAAGAAGTCGCTGAAGTAGGAAAAGTGCTTCTCAGATAACAACTGCTGTACAGAGGACTATTTGTTTAATTTGTTTATTGGTTTTGCCTAGCAACTTGTGGCAGAATAGATCATTGTGGTATTATAATAATGTATTCTTAAAAGCCCTGGTATAAGGAACTCCTGAAATTAAAGTGCCATGGGAAATTTTCAACAGTGCCTCTTTATAAAGCAAATGGGAGAATTATATAAGACTTCCTTCTGGAAGCTCCCTACCTACATAGTAAATGGATACATTATGGAGATGGCTGGGGTGAACCTCTCAGCCATATATGCTGCCACTAGGTATTATCATTTTTGTAGTGTTTGAAGTATGAACTCATTGAAATAGTGGCTCCATTCCAGCCTACCACTCTATTCTGGTTAATATGTTAAAATAGTTTATAGCTGGTTATAACAATGCAATAAATCTCATTGCCAAAGAATACTAATAAATTTGTGAGGGGAAATGGTGCATCTAAAGTTTTATATTACAGATAGTCCCCAGTTTATGAACGAGTTCCGTTCCCAAGTCTGTCCTTAATTTGTATGTAAGCTGGAACAGTATTATTGTATAATACAGTATAAGTGGTATTGTACAGTACTAATTAACCCGAACCATTGTGTATTTAACTCAAATTTTGCTATAGTTGGCTCTGTTCTTAACTATGGATTGCCTGTAAACTGGGCATTCTTAACCCAGGGGCTACCTGTATTCCAATAAATTTATGGAAAGTCCAGAAATTATACTAAGGAGACAGGGTGTTATACATCTCCTTTCAGCATTGGAATAATATTCTTCATATCAGATCTTTCCTTTGAGGGTAGTTGGTAGGCTTAAACAATGCCTAAGTTTTGTCTCATCTTCTGAAAGTTAGAGACTGATACTAAACAATGCAAGAAGAGCATGAGTTCAAACCACAGCACCTCACAATATAAACTTCCTAATTGATTCTTAGGAAGGCAAAGGAAGACTTTGTTTAAAATAACGCACAAAATGAAAATGAGAATTAACAGAACCAGTTGAAATCCTTATGGTGCGCTTTTTGGGTGCCCCTTGAAATGGGGCCTATGTTTGCTTTGCCATCAAGTATATGAAGGTTGGCAGTTCTGATTATGTTCTGACTGTGGTATTAATGCAGAGCAAGGAAACTAGAACCAGGTAATGAAAGGATGTCATTTAAATTGGTGCAGATAGCATTCCCACACATGGAATCTACCCAAATATTGCAAAGTCTTTCTTCAGAGGCTTTCTTCTGAACCTCCTGTGTGTGTGTGTGTGTGTTTTAATTAAATAGGTCAATATGGTTAGAAAGAGGGTATTTTCATTTGTGGAACTTTCTATGGCTTCCCCAAAGACACTTACTGTGCATCAAATCTGGTGTTTGTTGGTATCTAGATAAAGGTATTTAGTTGTCAAGGCCTTCCAGCATGCTGTCCGATTGTTTAATCTTACAATTTATATGGATTCTTTTAAAACTTCATTTACTTCTGTTTATTCTTGCTGTATATTTTTAAATGTTGTATTTTTATTATTGATTAATGGTTAGCACCCTTGGAGGCTTAGCTATCCTACATACATACTAACATTAAATGGTTCAGACTGAAAGCCCATGGCCGTGAAACAGCTGAAAAAATACTATATATCATATTTTGTTTTCTATTGTTTTAATATGAAGCGTACCTAAATGAAGTTCACTGAAAAGATGACCTCTCTATTTCCTCCCCTCCCTTCTATTGTTTCTTTCAGTAAGCATTTATTTTAAAAACCTGACATGTCATTCTTACTTAGCTATTAGTTGAAAATAATTAAATACGTATAAAGGGTTTAAAGCCAAGACATAGTGTAAGATTTGAAAAAAAATGTAGGACTAACTAATGACACTTTTTGTAGAAAACAAAATACTGTAGAACAAAAAAACTAATTGATGTGGTTTACAATGAATTGATATTGTTTATCCAATTTATGAGGTTTATACAAAGAATCTCTTTTACTAGATTCTACATCAGTAGCCAAATTATTATTATTTATTTAATAATTTGGTGCCATAGAGGAATAGATGCTATATAAGCAACAACTGTCAGCACTGCCAGACAAAATTAAGCACTTTTGTGGGACAAGCTTATATTTGACTGTCCAGGAGTAAATCTTGTTAAACGTAATCAGGCTTATTCTCAGGTAAGTGTACAGCCTAAGTAGGTGAAATTTTGCCTTCCAGATGTTTTCAGTTATTGGCTCTTCAACCTAACTAGTCCAGAGATTGAAATCAGTAGGATTAAAAAGTGCTTAATTTTGGTTGAATTTTTTCTGCTAAACATCTAGATTCTGAATACTTTAAATAATACATTAGAGAGAGGTAGCAGTCTCAAATAATCCATTATCAGAAACTGAATATTACAGGAGCATCATTAGTGATTTAGTGTCAGGCCTAGCCCAAGGAACTCCAAGAGACAATGCAAAATCAGTTCAGCTATGTTT